CCCAGAGATCAAAAACAAATATCAGAAAAACTAGCACCCAGCAGCATTCCCTACACCTGATATGGCAGATGATCAAGAAAAGCTTCCTGGATAATTAAAGCTGAGGGGAACCATAACATTCTGCTACTGGGGTCACTACCTACCATCACTTAGAAGAGCTTATTACTTTGTGTAACACTTGGATTTTGCTAGCCTCAATGGTAACGTTTGGGAAGATAGTTTAGAAATTCATGATTTGAATCTCTTTAGGGTGAATCAAATATTCTTGTGTTGGGGTTCTTAGAAGTGTAGACACCTGCAAAGTATTTTCTTTTTCTGTAATAAAATGAAAAACAGGAGCATTCACAGCAATTTTCCTGCAATGCTGGCTACCCTGGACAGGTGTGTGTCATTACTCCACTTCCCACTGCTCAGGGAGGGGGCTGAGCACTGTCAGGGCTGCAGCCTTCCAGAAAAACAGAGCAAGGGTAATTCTGATTCAACAGTGGCTACCTCCCAAGATTATAGGCAGCATAAAGAAAACCAAACCAATATCCAATTCAATGCTCTTTATGAAAATGTAGAGATTTGACGGGCATGCAATACTTAATAACATGCAGCAGGAAGCTCCTCAAACCCACTTTTGAAGATTAGCTTCCCTTATTGATACTGCATTTATTTGCTGGAAGGTTAGCCTTTGAGTCATTTTGTGTTTGTACTTTGTTACTGGCCTTCATCACTTCTCAGCCTTTCTTTCTGGATGTCTTTTTCTTTGCCACTCTGTCTTACCTTACCTATGCTGCACTCTGACCAGTTTCAGGATGTTTCTAAGATTCCTTTCCCTCACATGTTACTAGTTTTGAGACAAGGAACATTGCTACTAACTGGTATTTTCCTATTTACCTGCTAATTCTGATTCCCCAGAGTAAAGCTCATCACAGTAAGGCTCCTCTGTGGGTAACTCTTGGAGCCACTGAGTTAACATTAGTCAAAAGGTGAAACTGGGCTGATTGAAGTGTGCTCTCCTTTAGGAGACTTCAACCCAGGTTAAGTCCCACTGCAACCAAAGATTTCTAATAAAGTATGAATGATCGGTGACCTTAGTTTAAGAAATATTAAATATAACAAATGCAAATATAAAGAGACTTTGAGTAGTCTCCTTGAAAAGCTCAAACATGTATGGCCTAGTCCTTTGGTTGGGAGGACAGTGAGTTAGTGTTGCCTGGTGCAGCAGCATCTCTGAGCTGGGACGTAAAAGTGCCCCTAACACAAGGGAGAAGTGTTTGGTTTGCTGATGTGAAGGCCCACACTTCTGGCCAGTGACCGCTTTTGTTTCTTTTGACTCTGATGATCTTTTTAATTTTCTCTAAGAAAGGATCTGGCCTCGTGGCACTGTTCTCAGGCTTCCTAGTGACATTGTCCAAGTCTTTTTTCTACTTTAATTTGTCCACACTCTCTATAGGGCTGCATCATCCTGCCTTCGAATAACTGGTTCTTTCCTCTTTTGCCTTTGTACGTCCTTGCCTCAGCACCTTATAATAGATATACCGAAGCCTAAGCTCATTACTTCTGTGCAGTTTAAAGTGACTAAGAATTTAGCACAGCAGGATTTTCTACCACCCAAGAATCTCAGTCCTTATTAGGTAGCTAAGTGATTCTTAATGCCTATACTTAACAATTCAGAATTTAATCTTTGAATCAGTATGAGGCAGTAGGATGGTTTTCAAGGGGTACTAAGTATTTCCTTAAATTGAATTATGCTAAAATATACAGTTTAGACACCTTCTGTATTACAGCATTATTTTTTAAGGAAAAATTTTATGTGACTCTAAGATTGTACCAATATTTCCTTCATGTAGGTAATCCTGAAACATTACCAAAAAAATTTAATAAGATACTGACTGTCTTAAGAGCATCTTCTTTTGCAGAAATGAATATACAGTCCTAGGTTCTCCCAAATAATATAGCATTCAGACTTAGAAAACTAATCAAAACAGAAAAATAAATAAAATTAAAATATTTAATAAAACCATTCTGATATGTATAAGCAAACCAGAGTTAGTAATAAAAGAGGGAATACTTTATTTTAAAGGTAAACTTTCATGCTAACTTAATAGTATAATGGAAATGTAATATAAACTCATTTTCATATAAAATCTTTGATTCCATTTGCTAAAGATAATACATAAAGAAAACATGGCTTTTTCGATTGTCTCTTTGTTGCTCTTTTTATTTCGCATTATGTTCTGTTTTGTGTGAGGGCTCTAACCTAAATACAAAAGTCATCTTTCCATGACTAAGAATGCTACTTATGAGTAACCAATTCTGTTGATAAGAAACACCTAAAATATCAACGGTGTGATAAATGCAGAATGTGTAAAAAGAAGAGGTCTAAGGCAAACAACCCCTTTTCAAAAAATATCAATCTTTCTTCAAAGGACACATGGCCACAAAATAGTGTACACAAAGTATACTGAGTAGGTTTTCAGGTAAACCTTGAAACATTTGACTGTTCACAAGAATTAATTATGAAGTGGTGGGACTGAGACAACCCTGAACAACAGTGACATGCGATCCAAACATGTACTGCTGCATTCTAGATTTTGTTTTTTCCACCACCAGGTCCTTGTGTGTGGCACATATTATAACAAACACTTTCTTCTTGACACAATTTAATACCAGTATTGTAAGGTTATAGTTATTCATAAAACTATATGGCGAAACTAAAATAAATAGAGAAGAAAACCACATCCTGGTTTAAAGATTAAGACTATTTCAACGACAAAACATTTTTTTTTTCCCTTTCAAAATTATCCTAAAATGGAAAACAATTGTGAAATGTGCACTGAACGGTACCTAACACAATTAGGCTCCTGGTCTGTACTGATCCACTAGTAAGATGTTTTAATAATATTGTATTCGTGATATAGTGGTGAATTGTGGAAAGGAAATTTTATTGTCCATATTAAATTTGGGAGATAAAAGAGAAGCAATTCCATGAGACTATTCAGTGGGGAGTTAGCGGCAAGATTGGCTGAAATAAAGCCACAGCTTCTTAAAGTGTAAACAAAACCTACTCAACCTTTATTATTATTTTTCTGGAAGAGAAAGGATGTGGCTTTGAGAAGTAACCTTAGATTACACGGACTACAAATTAATTTTAGGTTTCACATATTGGTAATAAATGTTAAATTGACATTAAAAATTTCTATCCTTGAAAAATGATGAAGTACCTAAATATTTCTCATAAAGGCTCTTTGGTGATTCAAGAGAGAAAAATGGAAGTGAGCCAGACTACTTGTGTTTGCCCTCCCAATTTGTCTTCATAAATTTAAGGAATTATGAGAAGAACTATACAGTAGTGATATATTCAACTCTTGGATAATCCATTAACACCAAGATTTGTGACTGGACTTAATTATATCCAGATCAGTGGCAATTTGGGTTACAGTTATTTTCTTACTAACCAAGTCATAGGATTTTGTGCATTTCTGAAGCCTCCTTTTCCTCCATCAACTTGCAAATTCAGAACAGTATTTATATGTGTGCTTTTTGAGTATGGATTAGCCTCCTAAAGTATATAATTCCAATAATTATCAGTGACAGAAGGGATGAATAAATTATGCTTCAAGCACAACAAAATTAACAGTAAAAAATGATTTGCATACGTTTTTCTTAATGCATGTGCCTATATTAAATTTAATATTCTATACAACTGATACAAGCCTCAAACACTCCCAATGAGTTATTAATCTCGAACCGCACTGCTGCCTGTTTTGGGACAAAGAATAAAATAGAATTTAAATGATGCAGATGTCACGATGTTTTGAAAAGCTTTTTAAATTTAAGCACAGAGTTATGATGTGAATTGCAAATTCTAACAGCCTGGATGAGTGAAATATCAATGCTATGTTCATTCTTTACATCAGAATACAAGGATTAAGCTTCAGGTCTTGTTCACAAAATTAAAGCCAAAACCATAATTTCTCTCCTTGCTGACAGCTTATTAAGGCTACTAAGTGATGGGAGGCTGTTTACTTTAAACAAAGAGCAGTTGACCCTTGAACAACACAGGTTTGAACTACATGAGTCCACTTATATGCAGATGTGTATCAATAAATATATTGGAAAAATTTTGGTTAGGTATGTCACGCATTTTTGACAAATAGGCTAAGTAGTTAAGTACTTTACTACTACTTAAGTAATGAGCACCCCCTTCCCATGGGGGGCTCAGGCATGGAATGTGGTACAGCCAAGACCCGGCCTGGGGAGTTGTTAAGTTTTTGAGGAGTCAAAAGTTATATGTGGATTTTCAACTATGGTAGGGCTGTGCCCCTAACCCCTATATGTTGTTCAAGGGTCAACTGAATATTACATTGAGATTCATTTGGAAATACTGACAAAAGGGTGGAGATGTCCATCTTATGCTGACTTTTGAAGGCTGGCAAGTGTCTAAAGACCACAGCATTTCATCTTAATTCATGCGTTTGTGCTTTGATTTACCATAAAATGTGGCCATCAAAAGAAAGTTCCATTTATTTACAATTTTTAACATAAGGAAAAACCATGCTGATTAAAAAGAAGTTTCTTTGTATGTTGTAATATATCTTTGAGGGCAAGCTTATTAACGCTTTCATTTTAGTCTGAATGTGCTAATTATTAAATATGTACAAAATTTGCAAGGTGATTGAAATGATAGACACAAGTCATTTTTCTCTTTAGCATCATCCTTTATACTTTTTAAAGTCCTGGGGTGAGTTCTGTGCAATGATATTCACAGGCAACAGACAGCTGGTGAGGGCAGGAGGAATTCCCATCCCATAGCTCTTCAATGAACACAGACCAAATAATAATCACTACAGTGATGTTTATCTGGACACAGGCCTGAGGACTTACAAAACGCCACATTTACCCCTGAGCGTGACCATCTCCTACACATGTATTTATCCTGGGAGGCAACTATATACAGATCATGGGGTAAGTTCTCTGGACGCAGTAAAGACTCAGCTCAACAGAATCCTGTTTTAAGTCTGTGATACATTTTATTCACAGGAGACACCTTCAGCACTGTGCTCGCATACCTGTCAGCCAATGATAAGAGTGTCCAGGGAGCAGTTTAAGGGTAAATGAAGGGGGAAGGTGGAAATGGGAGGGTTGTCCCCACATAATCGTCTTCATTAACACTTGCTTGACTTCCAATATCTACTTTCTTCACACCTGCTTTGCATCTTGGTAGTTAGTGTGTACACACTGGAATGTTTGTGAACTAGAATCATGAAATTCTGACAGCTCCAGAAACTGGTACAAATGAAGGGAATTAATGTTCTGAAATGCTTCCTCTAAGGTAAGGATACTTAACCAGAAGTATGCTGTTATTTTTGTGGACTTGGACTTTGTAGTTTCTCTAGAAACACTTTTTGTTACCATTAAGAGGGCTCCATCTGTGAACTCCTGACACATTTCTTAGGATCTTTTTGGTGAATTGAGACCATAAAATAGAAAGGGCATATGTTTGTGCATGTTTATAAAGGCATAACTCTCCTGAGAGGGTGAATTGTATATTTTCCTTTTCCTCTCTACTTTGATCACCACCCTTGCCACTCTTTAATCCAGACCACCCTCCTGTTCAAACTTGCTTCTTGCTGTCACAGCTCTCTATAACAACCTTTCAAAGCAGCTGCCTCCTCAACACTTCAAACATCGTTTTGATGCCCAGACATAGGAGGAAGGAAACGACAACCTTATTAACAACGAAAGAGCCTGATGATTCTTATACTGGGCTCATTTCTGGCAAGAAAGAAAAGAAAAATGCCAGGAGGTCCAAATAATTCCCAATATAAAGTTATGTTTACAAATATAATCTTGCCCTGACCGAGGAGAAAGCCAACTGTGGTTGGAACATGTCGTACAACCATGGCATTACCAATGCAGTTTATAGCACCAATTGAGTAGGGTCTGTGGCACAGGATGGCAGCCCACAAACCGTGTGCCCGAAGTAGAAAGCTTTTGGGAAATCAATGGTCTTGGGTGTGAAAAAAAAATCTTTTATCCTTCACACATTTAGAGCCTGTGCTTTTCTATTTCCAAATGGCCTGAAATGGCAGGATTGCTATGGTTAGCTAATAAAGCCCTTGATAGGACTATTTCTTTAATAAATTTGCCTCTGATAGTTAAAAAAAAATTTTTTTTTAAAAATCCAGTTAATAAAAAAATAACCTTAGAAAACCATTGCAGGCAATGTGGTAAAACTTTTTGTTAATGAGAACAACAATATTACTCTGCTGGAGGAGAGTCATGCAGGCTGAGTTTGGCGCTGTTCTGTCACTGTGTGATTTTCCTCTTGATGACAGCGAGCTCTTTCTGAAGTTCACTGAACTTAGGGCGATTTTCAGGTTTATAATCCCAACACTTCATCATAATTTTAGCAATATCCTCTGGACAGTGTTGGGGGGCTGACATCCGGTATCCTGAAGACCCAAGAAAAAGAGAACAGATAATTTAGAATGGAGATAAGATATAAATGTTCACACAGGGCATGCTGATTTTTTTTTCTATAGGTGATTGAGAATTCAGTGTTACAAAGCCATGGACTTACTTTTATGTTCAAAGAATACATTTTTTGTTTGTTCATTTGTCAGATAGTCTGATGTAAGATATATAACTACAAATGCATATTTTAGTTGCTCTAGTATTTGCTTTTAGAATTAGATGCTATGAACAGAGTTGTTCCCCCCCCCCCTTTTTTGTCTTTTTTTGTGACCGGTAACAGGATCGCAACCCTTGGTGTCGCGCCCGCACTGCGCTCAACCAGTGAGCAGACCGGTCTCTATATGGGATCTGACCCCGCGGCGGGAGCGCCGCCGCGCTCCCAAGCGCCGCACTCTACCGAGTGCGCCACCGGGCCGTCCCATGAACAGAGTTTTAAAAAATTATCTTTATAGTTAGTGTTTTTGAAGATGAAGAGAGGATGAGGATTTTATAAACACTTATTTAATAGTGAAATAAAAATGAATATGAGTCATTTTCTATTACAGTTCGTTTTCTGGCAGTGTCCGAGAAAACACTTTGGGTAGTGTGAATGTGTCTATGTGTGTTTGACTCAGGAAGTAAGATGTGTGGGAGAAGTAGGAGAAGGGAGAAAGGAAGTTAGAAGGCATCCTCCTCCACCCAATTCAACGACCATGCCCCTCTTGAGGGGCCTGATGCTAGGGCACTGCCTTTTTATTGAGAGCACTCTTTTTGTTGAAAGCTGTGGACTATACAAGTGCATGCTAGGGTGTCACTGTTACCTACTTATTCCCATCTCTGATCTGAGGGTTTTCGGAAGAGTTACAAAATTCTCAAAAACCTCTTCCTGAAGACTAATCAATTTGCAATATAATTAAGAGGGTTTATTTGGCATAGAATAAAAAAATAGGTTGAGGAATACTACCCTGTTTCCTTTGAAGACAGTGACTGGCACAACCCTGCAGATGTCATGCCAGGCAAGGAAGGGGTGGAAGAAAAGCCTGTTGCCTAAGAGCCACACTATCCATGGGGTTCAAAAGCAGATTTATCTAACATCTCTGCTCTCTACTTAGCACCCATATAGTACTGTAACTCTCCCTGCTGTCATCTGGCCAGCAGGCAAGCTCACCTCTTTCCACTTGCTCTCGTGCTTGTTGATTTGTCATTCCAGGGTATGGACAGACCCCTAAGCTGAAGGTCTCCCAGAGGAGGATGCCAAAACTCCATACGTCACTCTCAGAACTGTATCTCCCTGGAAGGGAACAACAACCATAACCAGGTAAGGCACGGTGGACAGGTAGGTGACCATTTCTAGTTAGGTATGTCTATGTCAATCACATATTAACATGTTTAAGCTTGCCAGTGGAACTCAATAGCTAGTGATCCTATTCTTTTTATTGGTTTTATATTCCAGGATTAATAATATTACCAGTGAAATGTACAGTCTTCAGGCTGCTAGTTTAATCAAACCAGCCTCCAAATCACTTCCCTGCACCCATCCCCTTCCTCCCCACAAGAACAAATATTCAGCCAGCATGTAATCTCACTTTCCCTGTGCTATCTGAATGAGATGGATGGTTTATATAAAAAAAAGATATAAATTTGTACACATCAATGACTAGGAGATTAAATAAGTTGGATTCCTGCAATTTTGTCTTCTGCCTGCATCATTTTCCTTCCACTAAAATTACAAACAAACTTAAAGAAATAAGGAAAGTTTCTTAACTTCAATTTTTTACTCATCACTGTTTACAGATATTCTTACATGCTTAAAGGTCTCATTTTCTTCACTGATAGTTTCATTTATGAAAAATATATTTTTCGGTGTGTTTTGAATAGAGTGGAAATTAACATAGCTGGCTGATAAAAACAACTTTATGTGGTGCTTTGTTTTGTCAGAATAACTTGGTGCACCTGTTTCACTGTTACATGCACTAAGCTCTTAGAATTTTTTTTGGCAGTCTTTCTAAAGAAGCATAGAGAAAAACCAACACAAGATGTCTTCTGGAGACGACTATGAAATCAAGGAGGGGAAGCAGAAAAATCCTTTGCAATCTCCAAGAGATTAAGAGTTTCCAAGATTTTCCCAACATATTTGCATTTTTATTTAATTTTACATATAGGTCATATACTATCATAACTAAACTCCATTTGCAGCGGTGTTAAAGTTTTTAAATGATGTCATTTTCTCTCTCTCCTGCCTTAACTCAGCCACTCCAGAATTTATAAATGCCCCTCCTCTAAAAATGTCATGTTACTTTAAAATAGGATGGCCTTTTCTCTTTCTTGAGAAAAGCAAAATGAAAATGAGAGTATGCCTGTGCTATGGTAACTGCTGTGACATCAGAGTTTGGAGTGTACTTACTGATTATCAGCTAGCTCCAGCTGTGTGAATTAGCGTCTTTCTTAGCAGACGGTAATTATGGACATTCACTATGCTGTTTGGTAGGAAGATTAGCTTTCTTGTCTGCATATCAATTCTTTTCATGTTTGGCACCCAATAATTTAATACTTTTTATGAAAGTCATTCAATGGCCACAAGTTAAAACTAATTCTTTAAGAAAGTATAAGTTATACAGAATCAAATATCTTATTTTGTAAGGTAATATCTGGGTAGAGATTAAGAAAGGCATATTATATATAAACCAAGATCACACCCGAGAAGTGAGAGCTTATAACCTAATTCTATAACCTTGATCTTTGAACCTGGTTTTGTTGGATAATTTTAATGGACCAACAGTACCTTATGATTGTATAGCATTTTGCTACTTTTCCATCTCTCATTTGATCCTCACAATACCGTTGTAGAACAAAGGTACTATCACTCTCATCTTACGAATTAGGAAATGTAGGAATAGAGTAGACGGCTGGCCAAGGTCATGCTGCTAATGACAAAACTGGTTGTGAAGCCTAGTTCTGATGGGCAATCCAGGACTCAGTCACATCACACTAATTAAATTAGAGGATGCATCAGCCCCAAATATTCAGGTGAAAATTTTCTTTTATAATTAATAAATATAATTTTATTTCTTGATTGGAGATCAGTATCCTGTTTGCCCTTTATAAACACAGTACTTTTGGTGACAACAAATATATGCAGGACAGGTGATGAATATACTACTATTTTGTATTTTAAAGAAGTACACGCATGGGAGAGAGGCTTACCTTAGATTGTAGGCCCTTTAGTATTGCTTGATTTTTTAAAAAACCAAGTATATGTAGCATCAAAAATTAAATAATAACACTAATGACAAAACAGTGAAAATAAGTTTAATTTTATTGTTTAATTCTAAAGTTTCAGAGAAGTTTATGGGAGGTTTGAGCAGAATTTCACCTACTGTAGGCAAGAGTAAAGGAAAAAACCAGCGGGGAAGAAAAGGCCCTTGGAAATGAGGCAAAATTTCACCACTAACAACAAAACGATGTTTATATAAAACATGAAAGTATAACAACAAATAAGGATTTTCAAAAGATATTTATAGGGCCAGCCCGGTGGCGCACTGGAGAGTGCACCACTTGGGAGCGTGGTGGCGCTCCCGTGGAGGGTTCAGATCCCATGTGGAGACCGGTTCCTGCTCACTGGCTGAGCGTGGTGCGGGCGCAACACCGAGGGTTGCGATCTGGTTGCCGGTCCCCGGTACGGGCACGACACTGAGGGTTGCGATCCTGTTACCGGTCAGTAAAAAAAGAGACAAAAATGAAAAAAAAAAAAAAAAAAGATATTTATATTTTCTCTTGTCAAAAAAAGTTAGGATTTGGAGCCAATCTTCAGGAATTTCAGTACGTGAGAACTAAAACAACTTCTCAGCGTTACCATGAGGCTTAAACACTCTCAGCAACTCCCTCATTGGACTGGGGAGTAAATACTACCAACTTCTTCATCCACTGCCAAAATCTTTCCTTCTTTGTCATCTAAACTGTTCTGAATTTTATAAAATTAATATTAAAGACTGCTCAAAAATGTTCCTCACTGCCAATCAAAGATCTTCATACTTGTCCTCATTACTAAAAATGCTTTAGGTCTGGCTGTTAGAGGTATCTGGAATTGGAACTTCAATTTGTAAATACTTCAGTTAGCTTGAAATTCAACCAGAATACCCTGTGATTGAAAGTCATAATTGCTTAACAGTAAGAGGACTTCTAAAGGCTATATAATGTAGATAATCTGGCAAACAGGGTTGAGAACAAATTCTAGAGAGTTGGATTTTATTGGTAAGCCTTAAGGGACTCCCAAGTCCAGTTATAGCTCCCTTGGTGCTTAAAAACGTTTTGTCATCTAAAGAAAACCTCTATATAAATGCCAGTGTTATCCTATCTTTTATCCTGTGATTGTTCCCCTTAGTAATGTAGCCTTAGATTAATAACAATCACCACCTCAGGAAAGAATCACTATGGACAATAGCAGGGATACCATTTCCTCTAGATTCTGAGGAACAGTGGAACTAGTTTGCAATCACTAGAAAGCTCACAAAAGCCTCTGTTGCTGGTACATGAGAAGACAAACTAAGGGTGAGGATTAGTACCTGTGGTGTCTGGATCAGCCCCAACCCACTTCCAAACCAGTTAAATTCAAAAGTTTTACCTGGAAAACATTTGGTGGTTCCTCATAAAGTTAAATATAAAATTAACATATGACTCTAAGTATATACCCATAATAATTGAAAACAGGTACTCAATAAATCCTTGTACACAGGGTAGCACTATTCACAATAGCCAAAAAGTGAAAACTACACATCAAAGAATGAATGAATAAACAAATTATGGTACTGTATATCCATACAATGACATATTATTCAGTCCTAAGAAAGAATGAAGTACTGATACATGCTACAACACGGATGAACCTTAAAAACATGCTGTCAAAGAAGCCAGACATAAAAGATCACATATTGTATGATTCCATTTATATGAAATGTCCGAAACAGGTAAATCCACAGAAACAAAGAGCAGATTGGTGGTTGCCAGGAACTGGGGGAGGAGAGGAAGAAAATGCTTAATGGATACAGGGTTTTATTTTGGAGTGATAACAATGTTCTGGAATTAGATACAGGTACTGTTTGTACAACATTGTGAACTGTACCAAATACCACTGAATTGTGTTCACTTTAAAATAGTTAATTTTCTGCTATGTGAATTTCATCTCAATTTTTAAAAAGTTTTATCTGTCTTTAATTTAGGCATTAAATTGAAGGCATTTATAAATGCCTTCTAAATTACTTCTTATGATAAAGTCATTTTTTATTTTAAATTAACAGAGAATCATTTTATGGCATTTTTATTCAAAACATACTACACCTGTTCACCAATCCATGGCTCATATGCTACTTCCCTTAATGAAAATGTAATTTCTAATTTCAATTAAAGCACACTCAGTCTTATTTTCTTCCTAAATTCTTGAGCTGTTACCCATCTTGTTATAGCCCATTTCATCCCAACCACAGACAATGCAAGCTGTATTTATTTCCAATTATGACACATAAAATTCAAGTAAATAAAATCACTGCTGTTTTAAAATGTAATTCCCATCTCCCTCATCCCTCAAAATTTATGCAAGTTCCAGAGACCAAAATGCTAAGAAAACATGTTGATTATAGAGTGAGGAGGTAAAGGAATTAATTGACTTAATATTTTAGGAATCTAATATTGGATAAGGTTATTGGACCAATTATAACACACTTAAAAGAAATGGTACAGAGCCATAGCAATACTTTTACTCTGTGTATAATCTATTAAAATAAAAATAATCATTTCAATTTTTTTGGATAAAATGAGAAACTTCTCAGATGTATAGTCATATTTAAAAGTGCTTATAAGTGTATCCACCTAAAAAGGTGAATTAAAAAAAATTAGATTAAATAATTTAGCAATCATATATAAAAATATGATCAATAATTTCAACTAATTAAGTTTGTGCTTATGTCTGAGTACAAAGTATGAACGTTAATACATCACTTGTGTTGATTCTCAAATCATTCAAACCTGGGTTCTGCTCTCCCCCTGTAACATTGCTTGTAAATGTTTTGTGCTGATGAAGTCCATTTTTACCACCAAAAAGAAAAACAGAGTCTATTCTCACCGTAATTAAGAGCTTCTGGTGCTGTCCATTTAATGGGAATCTGCTTTAAGCCAGAAGATGAATACACCCCACCATCTTCTTGACGAGACATTCCAAAGTCACTGATTTTCAGAACATTATTTTCAGCTACCAGGCAGTTTCTTGCAGCAAGGTCCCTAGGTTATAATAAGACATGGAAAACACCTATTAAAACAAATTGAAAGCTGCTTTCACATTTATGACTTCCACACTTTGCTTTTTTACATTTGCAATGTATTTGTAATGAGGTTAAAAATGCTTGTGATTTACTAGTCCTTCCCATCTTTTGTCATAGGTAAAAATCATACATGAGAACATCTGCATATGGAACAGGCCTCATGCTAGCTATCGAGGCACCACACATATTTCCATTTAGATAGAAAAACACTGATTCTAGGGTTAAAGAGAAAATGACAGAGAGGCTAAGCAAATTTAGCATTATTTCTCCTTCGACTGGCTTTTCTAGAGCAGCATTGCCCAACAGAACTTTCTGTGATGATGGAATGTTCTCTATCTGTGCTATCCAATACGATCAGCCACTAGCCATGTGTGACTACTGAACACTTGCAGTGTAGCTAGTATAACCAAGAAACTGAATTTTTCATTTCATTTCTTTTCAGTCAATGAAATTTATTTATTTATTTGTTTATTTTAAAAGATGACTGGTAAGGGAATCTTAACCCTCGTCTTGGTGTTGTCAGCACCACGCTCAGCCAGTGAGCAAACTGGCCATCCCTATATGGGATCCGAACCCATGGCCTTGGTGTTACTAGCACTGCACTCTCCCGAGTGAGCCACAGGCCGGCCCCTCAGTCAATGAAATTTAAGTAGCTGCATTGTAGCTACTGAGTAGCCCTTGACAGACTATCCCTGGAGTTTCCCAAAGGTTGGAAAATGGCTGAAGCACCAGAGAGGTTGGCAACTCTTTTCTACCGCATCTGGGAAAGACAAAACCTTACATGATGATCTGGCCCTGCCTCCCTCTCCCACTTCATCTTGTTCCACTCTCCCCATCATTTACTATATCCCAGCCATCCTGAGTTTCTTTTTGTCCCCAAATGTAGGACAAGTTCCCTAAATGTGGGAAGCTTGTTTCCACCATAAGGCCTTTGCACTCAGCTTCTCCTTTGCCTGGAGTGCTCTCCTTCTAGACTTTTGCATAGCTAGCTCCTACTGCCCTCTCTTCCAAGAGGTCTTTCCTGACTGGGAGGACAGAAGTGAATAAAACAAAGTCCCTTCTCTAATTCTGAGAGGGAGAGAGAGAGAATGTATATATGTACTCGTACACACACACACAGAAAATCGTATGTCAAGTGCTGAGTGTTAAGAAGAAAAAAGTTGTAAAAGGGGAAAGAGATTTACAAGACAGAACCCTATTTCAGATAGGCTGGGAGGGACGATCTCTTTGGTACTATGATATTTGATTGAAGATCTGAAGGAAGTTAGGGGGCAAGCCATGTATATATCTAGAAGAGCATTCCAGGTAGAAGAAAGAGTAGATAATAAAGCCTTTGAAGTGGTACATGCTTGGCATATTCAAAAAATATCAAAGAAGCCAGTAGAGCTGGAGTGGAATGAGTGAGGGAGAGAATAGTAGATTTAATGAGTTAGCAAGGACCAAATGGTCTTTTAGACCACCGTAAGCTGTTTGGATTTAATTCAGTGAGCTGGGAAGCAACAGAGAGTTCTGCACACAGGAATGACATGATATGACTAACGTTTTGAAGGACCACATAATTACTATGTGGAAAATGGATTAAAGAAACCTGAGAGACCAGTTAGGAGGTTATTTCAGAAGTCCAGGAGAGGTGATGATAGTTGACACTAAGATGAAAGTGGTAGAGTTACTCAGAAGCTGTCATACTGAGGATATATTTTGAAAGTAGAATCAATAGGCTTTGCTGGTAGATTCAGTGTTGAGTAGGAGAGAAAAAGAGTCACAGATAACACCAAGATTTCTTGGTTTAAGCAAGTGGAAGAATGGACCTGACAGTTATTGAAATGGAGAAGACTAGGGGGAAGACAAGCTTTCAGGGAGGGTGGCAGAGACAGCCAATTGCTTCCTAATGTCCATTTCCTCCTCCTCTTTAGTAAAAGAACCCCTACTTTAGGTGAGTATTTTGCCATCCAGCTAAAAAGTAATTCCCAGCCTCTCCTGCAGCTAGGTATGGCCCTAATCTAAGTTCTGACCAATGAGATGTAAGTAGAAGAGTTGTCTAGAATTTCTAGCCAGTTTCTTTGAAAGAAAGGGGAAGCATCATTATATTCCCCTGCTAACTGGAATGTAGTCACGATGGAGAGTGTCAGCAGACATTCTGGACAGAGGAGCCATTACTAACCTTGGAAGAGCTGCAAGAAATTAGGGGACTGGTTTCTGATGAGTGCAGACCCGCCACACATTCTGGACCGCCTACTTCTGTACCTCTGGATTTTTTTTTTTTTAATGTGAGAAATAAATTCCTATGTCATTCAAGTGATTATCATTTCTTAACTTTTTCTTTTTTTGTTGATGTGTGTGAGTTTTGCTATATGCAGTTAAAACTAATCCATTGTAGGGGTGGATCAGGTTTTGAACACATTGAATTTGAAATGTCTATTAGATATCTAGGTAGAGATGTTGAGTAGGCAACTGGATATGTTATCTGTAGGTCAGAAGATAGGTCTAAGAGTTGTCAGCTTTTAGCCGGTATTTGAAGCTGCGGGATAGGAAAATGCTTTTACCTAGAGAGTGAGTGTAGAGAGATAAAAGAAGGCATTCAAGGACTAAGCCCTAGGACATTCCTGTATTTAGAGAAGGATAAAAGAAAGGAGACTGAGAAGAACAGCAACTGAGGAAGGAGGGAAACCAAGAAATAGTGTGGCGTCCTAGATTCTTAGGAAAACTTTTCAAGGAGGAATAGTGACCAACTGTGTCAACTACTACTGAGAAGGCGAGCACGAAGACTAGGAACTGTCCGCTGGATTTGGCAACATGGAATTTAGTGAGACCTTGATAAGGGCAATTTCAGTGGAGTCGTAGGTACAAAAACATGACTGAAGCATGTTCAAAGATTATAAGAAAAAGAAGTAGAGATAGTGAGTCCAGACACCACTTTTGAGTGAATTTTCTGTAAAGGGGTTCAGAGAAGTGGAGAGGTAACTAGAAGGGGATTTCAGGTCAAAAAAATGTAATAGCCCCCATATTAGGGGGATACATGTATATATCTATAGATGGGAATAATATTGTAAAGAGGGTAAAACTAATGCAGGAGGGAAAGGTGACAATTGCAGATGTGAAGCACTTGAGAACCTAAGAGGTAATGGGATCCATCTGTGCTTTCTAAATTGTATTCCTAATGCCCAGAATTGTATGTGGCACAAAGTAGGTGCTCGATACATAATGAATGAATGGATGAATGAGTGAATAAATAATAGATACTTCCTTATCATGGGAATGTTCCCTGCTGAAGGCAGGTTGTCTATTCTATGCTTTTTTCCTTTTTAATTATTTTTTCCTGAGAAACAATCAACAATTGGTTTCATTTTCAAGTGATGTGGTTTTACATATTTATCTTTGGAATGTACCTGTGAATATCAAACATGACCAGGACTTCCAAAAAATTAAAGTTTAGTTTATATGAGTGGCTTTGTACCTGTAACATAGGAAGTACCATGAGCAACTGACATATTAACAGTTGCTGATAATGGTGTTTCCTAAAAGCATTAAATTAATCTTGGAATTGCCAAACATGATTATTAGAGAGATGGTATTTTTAGATTTCACATCAGGTAGAAGAAAAGGGAATGGTAAATAGCTGGGTAATGTAAAATACTACTTTTTTTTTTCCACTTAAGTTCTTCAGAATATGACTACATATTGAAAACAAATATTATAGCATTATCTGGTCAGGTTTTCAATGTACATAAATGTTATACATATGACAATTACCACATAAAGGTTGCATGTGGGTAAAGGAACCTTTACAGTTCTAAGTTTTCTATGTTGGTACATTAACTCTAGTCTGTGAAAGTTTAGGTATGTGTATTGCAACCTCTTGAACAATCACTCAAAAAATGATGCAAAGAGATCTAGCAAAAGAAGTCGAGATAAAATAAAATGGAATATTAAAAACACTTAAACATCAGATAGAGTATTTAGTATTTAAAGTACCAATATCAAAAACATAAAATGAAAATGAATAGGGGTCATTACTACTGGTTCTACAGACATTGAAAGGATAATAATAAGACACTATGACAAACTTTATGCCAACAAACTTGGCAGCTTAGGTGAAATGAATACATTTCTTGAAAATACAACTTGCCGAAATTGACATGAGAAGGAAAAGAAAATCTGAATAGCTGTGTATCTATTAAAGAAAATAAATTCAGTATCAAAACCTTCCCCCAAAGAAAACTACAACCCAAATGGTTTCATTAGTAAGTGCAGAAAACATTCATGGAATAACAATATTATTCAAACTTTTCAAAAGGAGAAGAGGATCACTGTCTAGATCATTTTATGTCAGCAGAACACAAAAACCTGACAAAGACATTACAAAAAAATTACAGAGAAGTATCCCACATGTAGACAGAGCCAATTATCCACAACAAAATATTAGCAAATCAAATCCAACAGTATATAAAAAGGGTAACACATCACAACCAAGTAGGGTTTATCCCAATAATGCAAGGTTGGCTTAACATAATCAGTGTTATTCACTAGATTAACAGAATGTATGGGGAAAATCATGATCGTTCCTACTGACGCAGAAAAAGTATGTAACAAAATTTAACACCCACATTTATGACAACATTTCCAGATTGCTGAGAGTTTTAAGAAACTTCCTCAATCTGATAAAGGGCAGGTACAGAAAATTTAATCACTAAAATCATACTCAGTGGTGAAAAGACTAAATTGTTTTCCTCTGAGATCAAGGCTAGGATGCCTGTTTTTACCACTTCTGTTCAAAAGAATCTCTGTCTGGAGGTCCTAGTCTTTGAAATAAGACATAGAAAAAGAAAAAGAGGCAGATATCAGAAAAGAAGTAAAACTATCTCTATTTCTAGATATGAGTTTTTTTTTTTAACATAGAAAATCTTGGGGAATTTACATAAACTAGAAATAATAAATGAATTTAGCAAGGATGCAAGATAA